ATACGTGGACTAGCTCGACGAATAAAGAGACAAGATCAATCTGGACAATTTGATTTCGAAGGCGCCGAGATACGAATGAAGCTTTGGGAATGTGTTCGGTTCGTGAATGCCAAACAAGACTAGGGGAGATCCAGTTCTTCAGGTCAGCGGCGCAAATGAATTTTTCCGTCAAATCGAGAGCAAGGCCAAGACTTTTGGTTCATCGCCACGAAGTCGGGGTGGTGGTGGTTGGAACACGGTTGGATGGCTTGGGGTTAGGGATGTTTGGCACACCGTCTTTGGCGTCTGGGGATTCCTCGATTCAGGGACTGACAGTTTTGCGTGGCTGACCTGTCATCCAAAAAGCCCTGAACGGCGAGTTTTGAGTCGCACTTTAGGTTGACACTCGTGTTCGACGAAGGGCCGCACAAGACCAGAATAGACTAGAGTGTTGGACACCGTCGATACATTCAGTCAAGCGCTCATCGACATCGACAGATTGAGAACAAAGATGTAGCGTCTTCTTGTCTGTCTCTCGCTTCCAGGTCTTGTACATGTACGAACGAACAGCTGGTGTTCGTCCCCAGTTGGCACGGTGGTGCATACATACTAACAACCCCCTTGTCCCGTCCCCATCCCCTCATTTGCACCCCCGCGATCTCCAACAATTCTCCATCCTCTCCATCCCACATGTAGGTACTCAATCCTCTCACCTGCGCCCGTTCTCCGCACAATCCACCGGACGGGATCGGTCGATATGTGGACTAGTCTTCCAGGCGGAAAGCTGTGATTTGATGTACATTGTCGTCTGTGTCCTAGAGAGACTCACTGTTATGATTCTTTCCAGAGTCTCAGCTCGGAGCTTTCATTTCAACCAGCACTCATCGTTGTCATCGTCCCATTCCCAAAAAGTCCCCTGTTTGACTGTCGGCGCATACATGTCCCATCCATGACGATACATACGGCCTAAACTCAGTTCAGCACACTAACCTGTCCTCCCCTGCCTTCATCCATTCACCAACCTGTTCAACCCTGCAAACCCCTGCTCTTTGCCATTTTGCCTCGTCTCCTCCTCTGCGTCTCCTTCTCCACCCCCACCAGCAGCCTAAATTCGTGATTGAAACCACACACCCGGCCGCAAACCCCAGCAAATCACGCGCCGCCTTCATCGCAGGGAACGGCTCATACTCGGCGGTCCATGCCGCAAAATGAATGGCCACATCCATCAGTGATCCTGGGGAAGAAGACCCATTCATTCCTCAGTCACTCAGTCACTCGTCTTGGTGTCTCCCGTCAGCTCACATGCGCCCTCTCAACTCTCATTTCTCTCCCCCGCCGTGCGCCCCTCGTAATCTGGGGCACCCGGGGCCCCATAGAGTCCCCAGAGCTGCCCCAGATAGTCACGTCTATTGCTGTTAAGCTTGACTGCTAGTTTGTACATGGAGACCGTTCTGCAGCCAACTTGCCGCCTGCCATCACCGATCCATCATCTAGATGCTTGACAGCTATCCCACATACAGCCGGCCTCTCACTTCAATCTCCAATCTCCTCACGAACGTCTTTTGCCGGCAACTTTAAACCAGGTACCACGGATACGACGAACCGCCAGACAGGGTCTTGGTCTGCGCCGTCAAGGTCTACATACATACGGATCGCCGTTTGCTTGTTGCTCAGACTGCGATGCGTTATTCGTGCCCATGTTGATCCCTTGGCTCCTTCCACATGGCCTGCCATCTTGTGTCTGCATCTGACTGAAGTGCCATCCGGCTACCTTAGCTTGCCCAGCCCAGCCTCTGAGACTAGCCTGGCCGCGGCCATGCTTGTCGATGCATCCCATCCGGCCGCCACGACCGCCCAACAGAACAGGAGACCACCACTACACCGCACACCCCCAGAAACCGCTTGCCATGTCCCACGCCTTCCCCGAAGCCTCCAATTATACCACCTGGTCGGCTGATCGCAAAACCGACTTCCCAAGCCAAGACGTTACTCTGCCGCCCCCATCGGCCCAGCGTCCTCGGGCTGTCCTCCTGCCTCTTGTGAATGGTGGAAAATCCCATGGATAATTCACCGTCCGTCTTGGTACTCAGTGAGGCTCGATTCTCTGGGGTTTCCAGAGGCACAGCTAGCTTCCATTGAAGGATGGCTGGAGGGCGGACAAGACCAACCAGAGGCACGGAGCAGGGGTCTCGGCGAGGAGACGCACAGGAACGATTGTGACCATTGCTCCGGACGGAGATGTACTCCTCACGCACACAATGTACCGTCGGAGAACCTCTGTCGCATCCAACGTGAGGTGGGATGGCAAATTGCTGACTAGGTAGCTTAGAGCTGTGAGGGGTCCCCGGTTACACTGGGGGAGGAGGAGACTTTGGATCAGCAAGGAAAACACCGACCTGGCTTCTCGATATATCAAGGCGGCCATCTCGCGCTCCTCACATCCGCTGTCCCCTCTCTCTTCGCCGCTTCGTCCCTTCACCACCATCTCCTCGCGCCCCTCGACCTTCTCGGCTTGTAGAGGCTCAATCACGAACGGGTGTCGAGTATTCGATCGACCTTTTCTCCTCAGTAGCAACACCGATCCGCCAGAGCCTGGCTTGTTGCAGAGGAAACAACCGCCAAAATGTCGACTATGCAGGGTCTTCTCAAGAAGATCGTCAAGAACGAGGCGATGCAGAACGATCCCGCCGAGATCTACGGCTGGAGAGTGTTCGCGCTCGCCGCATCCGCCTGTTTCGGTGCCATGTCCTTCGGTTGGGACAGTTCCGTCATTGGTGGTGTCGTCGTCATGAAGCCATTCATGAAGTAAGCGGACGCATCTGGCTGGGGGTCTTTTCATACAAGTAGCTAACATTCATCTACAGTGACTACGGTTTGGAGAACGCATCCAAGGTCGACACCGCCAACCTGACGGGCAACATCGTCTCTACCCTCCAGGCCGGCTGTTTGGTTGGTGCCCTCGCTGCTGCCCAGCTCACCGACAAGTTCGGTCGCAAGTGGTGTCTCGTCTCTGTTGCCGCCGTCATCCTCGTCGGTGTTGCCATGCAAGCTGCTTCTCTCGGTAAACTCGCTCCCATCTTCGTCGGTCGCTTCATCTCCGGTCTCGGTGTCGGCGCTGCCTCCAGTATCAACCCGCTTTACGTCTCTGAAAACGCCCCTCGTGCCATTCGTGGTCTTTTGACCGGAATGTACCAACTCTTTATCGTCACTGGTGGAATGATTGCTTTCTGGATTAACGTGAGTACCGCTCAATCATTGCGATCAGGTCACACAGCATTACTGACCCATTTGTTATTCAGTACGGTGCCGAGGTCAACCTCAGCGGCAAGAGTCAATACGTTTTCCCTCTAGCCATCCAAGGCCTGCCAAGTCTTTTGCTTCTCGTCTGCATGCTCTTCTGCAATGAGTCTCCTAGATGGCTTGCCCGCAAGGATAGGTGGGAGGAGTCCAAGAAGATCCTGTCGGTTCTCCGCAACCTGCCTGAGACACACCCTTACCTCGAGCAAGAATTCCAAGAGATCGTCGACCAGCTGCAGCACGAGAGAGAGCTCATCGGCGAGGCTACCTTCATGAACATGCAGAAGGAGATGTGGACCATCAAGGGCAACCGAAACCGCGCTCTCATTTCCATCTTCTTGATGATCTGCCAGCAAATGACCGGTACCAACGCCATCAACACCTACGCCCCGACCATCTTCAAGGGTCTCGGTATCTCTGGACGCTCCACCCCTCTGCTGTCCACCGGTGTCTACGGTATCGTCAAAGTTTTGGCTTGCATCTGCTTCCTCCTCTTTATGGCCGACTCTCTTGGTCGTCGCCGCTCGCTGCTCTGGACATCCATCGCCCAAGGCCTCTGCATGTTCTACATCGGTCTCTACGTCCGTATCTCACCGCCCATTGAGGGAGAACCGGTCCCGGGTGCCGGATACATGGCACTGGTGGCTATCTTCCTCTTCGCTGCATTCTTCCAATTTGGTTGGGGTCCTGCCTGCTGGATTTACGCCTCTGAAATCCCCACTGCTCGTCTTCGTTCCCTCAACGTCGCCCTTGCTGCTGCCACTCAGTGGCTGTTCAACCTGATCGTCTCCCGCACTGTTCCCAACATGCTGGCCACCGCGGGCTCTCACGGTTACGGGTAAGTGATGATCCCATCCTGATATGAGAGGTCAGATACTAACGCCATCCAGAACCTACCTCATCTTCGGCAGCTTCTGTTTCTCCATGTTCTTCTTCGTCTGGTTCTTCGTCCCCGAGACCAAGGGTGTCTCCCTCGAGCACATGGACAAGCTCTTTGGTGTCACCGACTACGACACCGACAAGAACCTCGTCCACGACAACGCCAGCGACACCAAGGTGCCCGCCCAGGTCCAGATCGAGACGACCAACACCAACGACCCGTACAACCACGTCCGCAAGGAGTCTGCTTAGGAGGCTTCATGGGTTGGAAAAGATGTGTGATGCGGATGAACAGAGGCGTGTAAGCGAAGCGAATTTGCATTTAGAAGCTTGAGTTCAGAAGACTGAGCTTGAGTGAGTGAGGATGATCGCATGTAGTTGGCTTTTGATACCTATCCAGCCTGCTACGGCACTGGCCTTTGATGACAATTCAATGGAATTTTGAATAAACTCGTGCCCCTGACAGGAAATTTGACGTTGGCGAGATGCTCCGTCTGCTCCTTGTGCCCCTACTTCTGTCTAGATGTGGAATATGACGCAGACCAGATCATTCCTGTGCAGTGGAGTCAAACCCTGCATGGGCTGACAATCGGGGGTTGGTTGTCGTCCCACGAAATGGACCCCCAAAAGATCTTTTGTCCGGCACGAGCTGGTAATTAGCGCTCGGCATCACGCCAAGTGTCAGCATAAACAAATGGAGCAAATGTCTGTCCATATCTCTCAGCGGCGGTTCTCTAAACTTACATTGATCTGGTCTGACGGCCACAACTGATATGCCAGCACGCAGCCGGGAAGCCCCCTCGAAACTACACCATCCATCCCACTGAAACGAGACTCGCGCGACGATGACCATGCCAAGTGCCGAAAAGAAACCGTTATCTGACGTCGAGAAACAGCTGTCAACTGACGACCGCGATGTCAAAGACCTCTGGCAGGAAGCCTTGAAAGGCTATCAGGGCATTGTCGGGTTCAGCCTGGAACGCAAATTCGACAACGTTCAGAGCATGCTCGACTTCGGAACGGAACAAATGAACAAATTCCACAAGTTCAGGCACGACAAGGGCAAGATTGACCGCCTGAGAACCCTCCTTGCCTCCAACCTGGACTACGTGGAAAAGGGCGCCAACCAGATCATCGAGGCAGCTTCTCCAGCGTTTCCCCCGGCCGCGACTATTGGGACGGCCTTGACCTACATACTACAGGCCTGTCGTTCGGTCTCAGCGGACTACGACATTGTCATTGTTTTCTTCGAAGACATGAATAGCTTTCTTCAACGTATCAGCATTCTCGAGTCACGACTTCCCCAGAAAAAGGCCTATCAAAACTGCCTGATGGAGGTATTTACCTCGCTTCTCAACATGTGCGGCTTCGCGCACAAGTACATTGAGCTTGGTCGTTTCAAAAAATGGATCACCAACCTCTTTCAGGGAGAAGATAGTGAGCTTGGGGGAGCAAGAGCCCTCATGAACAAGAAATTGGGTCATCTCCAACAAGCCACGGAGTTTGCTATTCTCGGAAACTCTGAGGAAACGCTCAAGATGACCACACTGTTGGATGAAAACCAACGATCTCATACCCAGATGCTAGAGAGGTTCGAAAACACTATGGACAGCATCAACGAGAACACCGAGAACATTAAGAACGATGTCGCCAAGTTACTCAAGTTATTTGGAGGACAAACGGAAGAAAGCCAGGCGAACAGTGACCTGCTAGGCAGCGCATCGTCTGTAAAGAGCGTCCAGGACGCTCAAGAATCAGGAGACAAAACACTATCTGCCAGGGCCATTCGATATTTTATACCAGGGTTAGGACGAAACATCGAGGAGGAATTTAAAGCCCTGAGGGAAACACTTCTGCCAGACTTTTGCAACTGGGTATTTTCAGAGCCAAGCTGGAATGATTGGTTGGCAATGAAGGACGGAGAACGCCCCGTTTTTGCAATTACTGGCCAGCCTGGTATTGGAAAGAGTCATCTGGCAGTGGCCCTTTACGACAAGCTCGAAGAAAGGGCCAGAGAGGATGAAACGGGACACACCTGTGTCGTTCACTTCTACTTTCGTGAGGAAGACGATGTGTTCTGTTCTTTTCTCAGCTGCATGGTATCAATTGTCATCCAGATTGCAGAGACTAGCAATGCTGCCTGTGAAAAGCTGAAAGCACAGCTTGCGAGAGATGACATCAACATCAACAACCGCCTTTGGCAACACCTTGCAATCTTTTTGCTCAAGCCTCTCTTCGAGCAAAACTCCAAGTTCAATCTCTTTATCGTGCTCGACGGATTGGATGAGATGCGCGATTGGAATGCCTTCAAGGAGTTTCTGTCCATGTTCGTCACAGAGAAAAGGCTGAGAATGTCGCTAGTGGTTACCTCTAGACCTGAACGCTTGGAAGACTTTCCGAAGGACATCAGACTGCTTCAAATTGAAGCCACCAAAGACAAGCAGCGACAAGACTTTAAGGTGTTGATATGGCATCGTATCAATTCCCTTGGTTGCTTGAAGAAATTCTCCCGATACGTTAAGCAGCGGGTTGCCGTTGCGGTGGAGGAAACGTCACCAAGTAAGTGGTCACTTGGCTTTTTGATTCGAACATGCTGACGTTTCGCGGTAGACATGCTATATGCGGAACACATGCTCACCAAACTGGACAGTCTTGGCCGCGAGGGCGCCGTATTGAAGGCACTTAATCAGAATAAGCCTGATGACCTGAATGACATCTACGAAGGCTTATTATCAGATTGTCGCCGCCGCACGCCGATCAGTCACCAACAGATTGCTGCCTCGATACTTCATTGGATAGCTTTCTCTAAACGAAGACTGACATTAAATGAGGTTCAGTCTCTTCTGAGGCATCTATCACAGGCAGCAGACTTCAGCCTTGAAGACATACCTGAATTCACGTCAAAATTTCTCAAAGTAGCAGACACAGGCTACGACGCCGAATTACGAGCAAAGGCGCAAGCTAGTAAAATCACAATGGTCCAAGACTTGAAGCAGCATGGCGGTGACAATGACGATATACGACGATGGACCTCTTCCTGTGAAGTTTCAGGAACGATCCATGAGGCGTTACTTCACAGATGGCCCGCACGCACCCTCAACATTGCGTTGGGGTTCCTCCGAAGCTCACCGTCGGATCTTTTTGAGCAGCACGAAGCTGTTTCAACCTTCTCGGATGGACGTTGACAAGAACCTCCAGAAATATTGCGCTGTATTTCTGTTACATCACTGGAGTAATATCCAGGTCGCTCAACATACCCATCAGGAACAGGTTGAGGTCCTTGAGGCTTTTGCCGAGGCACTCAGCAACAAGACTGGGTTTTCTAAGATGATGGGCAAGGCTGGAATGACGTATCGCTACGCCTCAACCACCGTCACTGATCTCAGAATTCAAGACTGGGCAAAGCTTGTGAAAATTCCAGAAGTCAAGGATAGTCTCAGTGATTTTGCAGCGGAATGGTGGCGCCGTGTTGAACAAGAACCCGCCACCTTTCGTCTAGGCCTGGCCAAGGGTTATCTTCAGGAATTGTATCAGTCACTGAGTTTACAAGATGCTATGAAGGCATGGGAATGTCTCCAGAGCATCATTCAATTGGTAAGGCCCAATCCGCCCTCACAATGCTCAACTTGGCAATTGAAACTACAAACAAGAGACGTGGTCATACTAACACGTATCGAAAAGATTGGTAAAGGTAACCTCCTGATGGAGCAAGGCCGTCTCAACTTTCCAGACCAATTCGAAAATGTCAAAACATGCGATGAGACAGAAGTCGTCTTTGATGAGGCTATGGCCAGCCTGGGTATCTTGGGTCTCTTCGTAGAAGATGTGACTCCAGATGCAGGCGGTCATCGTGCGACAGCTGAAGTTCTTCTCAAGACTGGCTACTTGGAGCCGGCTGAGAAGACTTGCAGAACCGCTCTACAGCTTTGCAACCCAAGTAATCCTGAGTGGTACAGAGCTTCTTCTGTTCTGTGTGACATATTGTTACAAGCAAAGAAAAACGAAGATGCTCACCGGTTCGCTGGTGGTGCAGTCTCTCAGCTCTGGATAAAGGAGATTCCTGGGCATCTGAAGCGTGCTGTGTGTACTACGTACGCCAGAGCTCAAACAGAATTGCAGAACTTTGATTCGGCGCTTCAGTACTACACCGAGGCCAAGAAATCTGATCCCGATGGCATCACCCCAGCATCCGATCTTGTTGCAGAGTTGAGTGTCTTCTACCGAAAGGCGGACCAAGCCGGTTATATCAAGGCTTTGAGGAGCTGGACCCTTTTGGAGAGGATCACCTGGTTGGCGTCCAACTACGCGACAGAAGGAGAAGATCGACTTGCTCTACTCTGTGACATTGCCGTGCAAACCGGCGAAAAACAATTCATCGTTGAGTTTTACGAACAGGCGGTTGCCTTCTTAGACAACCTCGACGCCGACACACCTCTTCGCCTAGATCTTGCAGTCGTGTACTTCGAGGCCTGCAAAGATGCCGAGAAGGCTCTGACTACCTTGAACGAGGTATTCGATAGCCATGACACGGTCTTCGTTTACCCCATCACATCTGTCACTCCAGTGTGGGTGATGCGTATGGCATTGACTCTGATGACAAACGTTCAGGTAGAACTCTTTCGGCAGTCGAGGGATCCGATCTACAAAGCCGAACGCCTCCAGTCTCTCTCCAGCCTCATGGAACGCCCATTGTCACTACATATCCCACACATATCCCCGATAGATACTATATCGTACAGGATCGGCTTGTCCTACATGTACTGGGTCATGGGGCCCAAGGCGACATTCGAAGAAACGCTGCAAAAATTGTTCAAAGAAAGCTTCGAAGGTCTGAGTGATTACATTAAATGGAACGATGGTACGTATGTGTGGACACTTACACAGGCGCTGGCGCTTCTAAGTCGAGCGTTGGGAAATGACGACACGCTCCGCCGCTACGCTCGTATCGTGGGTTCTGCTCTACTGTCACGACTTACCAGGTCCCAAGAGGACGATAACTCAGCGGGTGGGAAGCAAAAAGTCAGTCATATAACGGAGGGAGATGACCATGAGTCGGAAGACAACTCCCATGAAGACGAGGGAGACTTGCTGAGTGACTCATGGTACACGTGCGGAGGCTTCTGTTCCCCAGCCCGCCCCTTTCGGCGGTGGGGAGATGGCTCGGCGTACTTGTACATCACTTTTGAGACGGGTATGATTTGCGAAGAGTGTCAGACAGAATGCGACGCTATGAAGCGCGGCGAAGGAACAGGAAAAGCCCGATACTTCCACGGCATCGGGCACGACTATGTCAAGCTTCCCGTCGAAGGCTGGCGGGGCGTCAAGAATGGCATGTTGAGGTTGGATGGCGAAGAGCCCGTACTATTCAATGACTTCTTGAAGAAGCTTCAGACGGAAGTCATCGAGAATGCGTGGGATCGGCTTTGGTCTGGAGAGATCTAGGTGTGGTGTCAAATAGAATGAACATAACCGAGTCGATCTGTCGTTTTACCGTGCCACGGCACCTGCATTCAACATATGCTCTTTTCACCTCTACTGGCGGCGGCGGCGTCGTCTCTACTGCCGTCTTTCTCTGCCGTCCGTCGTTTATGTTCCTTACTTCGTCTCTCCCCGCTCTCAATCATTTTGGTCCAAGTATAACGACTAGCCAGGTGATGTGGCGCTTCCTCAGCCGCATTCTGAATACCAGATGATTCAGCCCCAAGTTGACATGAGGACGGAGAGATATGGAAGAAAGTGACGCTAGGCCTGTTTCAACCAAACACCGACGGCTCACGTTGACCCATGAGTTGCTATTCAAGCCATGAATGCTCCCTTGGTGATTGTAGAGACTACCATCCACGTGCAAACCTGGTGATGTAAAAGCCGTTGCACCGTCGTCCCCAGTCTGATTTGCTTGCCAAGTCCTGCTAACTCTCACTATCATCAATTCTAAGATGCTTGATTCTCTTGGAATTATATGGCTTTCATGCGGAGATTGAGAGAATATGTATAAGCGTATGTTGCTATCTCCAAGATCCAACGGTATAAGTGACGGAAACCTCGACCAGTGCACGTCTTGATGTAATTTCACAACCACTGCGTTCTTTCTAGCCTCATCAACATGGGACCTTTCCTTGCTGCTATCGGCCTCTTGGGCTCTTTCATGACTCTTGCTGTTCAGGCCCAGAACCCGCACCATGCCATCGACCCCACCCTTTTCGCCGTTATCAAACCGAATAACGAACTTGAATGGCATGACTGTTACTCTGTCTTCAAGTGTGCGCGGTTGAAAGTAAAGCCCCCTTTCCTTACCTCTCTTGTACTACCCTCTCGACTCACATCCAACAGGTTCACGCAAAGATTGATGACCCTCGCAAACCAAAGAAGGTCAAGGGGAAGTGCGGCCAGCCAACTGTCGACCTTGCCATCGTCAAACTTCCCTACGTTGCTGCTCCAGGGGGCACCCCTCACCAAGGCGCAGTTCACGTCGCCCTGGGAGGCTGGAGTTCCTCGTCGACCAACTTCCTCGTCCGGTTCGGAGAAGACTACGCCCCTTTATTCGCAGGATATGATCTTCTCGCCATCGGTAAGCCCGCCATACCCTGGCAGTCTCACAAACCACATATTGACAGAAACCCAAGACTATCGCGGCTGGGGATGGACTACATCCTCCTTCCGCTGCTTTGCCACCGAAGACGACCGCAAACAATTCGCCCTCTCCGAGCCTCCTCTCCTCGGAGCTGACGATGCCGCATTCTCTCTCCGCGAGAAGCGCGCCGAGGAGTTTGGGAAGAAGTGCAAGAAGAACGGCGAGGACATCGGCCGGTTCATGGGGACGTACGCCAACGCCGTCGATCACTACACCGTCATGAAGGCGGAGAACCGCACCAAGATGGGCTTCTGGGGTATCTCGTCCGGCGCCCACCTCGGACAGACGATCGCCCAGCTATACCCAGAGGCCGTGGACAAGTTCCTCTTTGACAATAAGTCCTCCTTTGCAGACGTCATGAACATGATTTACTGAAGCGCGCACACAAGGTCCGACACCCTCATCGCTCGCGTACACCGTAACCCAAGCCCAACCCTCCCAAATACAAGATGCGGAACGCGGCCTCGAAGCATTCTTCTACACATGCCTCAACTCCGCCCCCGGAATATGCGCGTTTGCAAACACCTCAAAAACCACAGCCGCGCTCCGCGCGCGCTACACCGCCCTCGAGGCAAAGCTCAGATCCAAGCCCCTCAGCATCCCGGGCTCCGACTACAAATTCGACTGGTCCGCCCTCCACACCTTCACGACCACCACCCTCCACGCCCCCGGCTGGTTCCCCGTCCTCGCGGGCGTCTTCGCAGAAGTCGAAAACGGGACAGCAGGGCCAGCCATCGCCGGCGCAGTATCATCCTCCCTGACCGTCCCGCCTGCCCCGCTCCCCCTCCTAACAGAAGAAGCACCCTTCGAGGGCATCCTCTCCGGCGTCTGCATCGACGAGTCACAGCACATCAAGAACACCAACGACTTCAAGGCCTACCTCAAAAGCATGGTCGCCGCCGCGCCCAGCGTGGCGCCCATCTTCGCGGACTGGCGCCTCGTCTGCTCCAAGTGGAAAATCGACCCGGCCAACAGGTTCCCAGACGTCTCCAGCGAGCCTGTCAGGACGCAGGGCAAGATTGTCGTGCTGAACGGGGTGGGCGACCCCGCGAGCAGCGTCGAGGGCGCCAAGGGCGTCGCGGCGAGGTTCTCGCCGAGCGTGTTTGTGAGGAACCTGGCGCCGGGACATACGAGCTTTGCGGCGGCGAGTAATTGCTTGTTTGGGCTGTTTTACACGTTCTTCGTGCTCGGGCAGATGCCGGCGGAGGGGTATACTTGCGGTGATGTCTTTGCGCAGGCTTTTGGGGTGCAGATTCCTGCTGGTTTCTAGGGGAAGGGCTTTCCCCCCGGGATATCTGTGGTCAGAAGATAGAAAATACGGCTTGGTTCTATTAGTTGAAGGTCCGCCTCTGCCTTCAATTCACAAACTCCCCTGGGGATAGATATTTTCTATGGTTAGAAAAAACCTCTGACGCGCAGACCATGTAATGGGAAGTAGAGACAACATCCAAGTCACAAGAAACAGGCAGTTGAAAGCTTCAAAAGCCCACAACGTGGCAGGTATATTGCTAAAGCGACGCCATGCCTTGAGGCTGGCCCGGCCCAAAAACGCCAGCCTTGATCATTGCAAATTGCAGCGGGCTCTTTCGTCCCGATTGAACAACCGAACCGTTCGGCCTGTGTTCCCTTCCATGCCTGGTGCCTTTTCCTGTTGCTGAACCACAGCAACCCATCCCTAAATGATAGCCCCGATGAACGCCTAGCATTGCTCTATGACATGAAAAGAACACGCTGCTTGAATCATGACACTAGAAACTGAAAACTCATTGGCCACCACCACCTCCCGGGCCATCGAAGAGGAGAAGTGGCCACTGACCTACCGGCGCGGCTGTGACAGCGGCCATTTCGGCCACAGTAGCCGCTTCTGACACTGCGTTCGGGTCCCTAGGACCGCCGCCCAACGTCAAGAGGGCGTTGGCGCTATACCTGTCTTGGCTGTCGGCCATCGCAGCGGTCCAGTCGTGCCAGGTATTGCCCTGAGATGCGGATTGTCGCCACAGAAGCTCGGCAGCGGCAGCGGAGCCGGTCGGGTCAGCCACATGTTGAGTTGCCTGTGAAGCAAACGCAATCAAGGGGTTGGTCTCAGCCGAGGTCTCGTCTGCCGCCCCGGTCGCCTGCACTGCAGCCGTATAAGAGTAGGCGTTGTTCGCCTCAAAAGCGGCATTGGCAGCCAGACTATTGTTTCCGGGCTGCTCGGCGTATGCCAGGGACGGGTACGGCGTGTTTCCGTTCTGGTTGGCCGATTCTGCGTAGAACGCCTTCGCAGCTGTCTCGGCAGCGCTCGCGGCCAAGGCCTGTGTAGACTGCGGCTGTGCCGAAAGCTGGAACGGTGACGAGTCTGCCGGGTCGGGCTTAATCGTTTGAGGCAGCGATCCTTCCTTTTGCTTGGAGTCGTGCTCGATCCAACTGATTGTTCTCTCAATGATGAGATTGATTTCGTTGCTGATGCCAGATCCCGTTCCTAGAGTTGAGTTAGTCACGATTTTCCTAATGGGCAGTGACACTACTCACCGATTAGTGATACTGTGGCGTTGATAATTTCCATCCAGTCTCTCATGTCAGAGCGAATGTTGGCGATCTGGTTAGGAGTCGTCTCGAACCTCCTTTCCCAGTGGGCGACCAAAGTTGTGAAGATGGCGGCGCCATAGACCGCGATTTGATACCACGTCGTATCCAAGGATTTCAGCTTCAGAATGCATTTGGTGGCCTTGAGCATGTGCGCCGCTGTCTCCTCGCAGATTCGGGCATTCTCCAGGAGCATCTTGCGGTCGCTTGTCATGGCCACAGATGGATGACGCAAACAAAGACGGAACTCGAGCGCATACATCTGTATGTATAGTGCGTACATCTTGCCTTCGTGTTCTGTCTGGCCGGCAAGGTTGAGTTGGAGGTTTTCTGGTAGGCTGTCCTTCCACAGTTGAAGCTGCTCCTCCAACGCATTTACGACGTCGGCGTAGTTCTTCGGATCACGCTTTACGCTGTAGATGTTGGAGTACATCTCCATGAAGAGAGGGACGATCTTGAATCCAGCCAAACCGACGTGGTAATTGCAGGGCGTTGTCACGGAAGTGTCGACGCCCTCTGGTGTCAGCGCCTCGTCCGCAATGGGCTCGGGGAAGTCGACATCATACTCCTCCACATTGATGGGCATAGGCCGTCCGAGGCGCCCGTTCAGGGTAACGTACACGGTCAGAATAGTCCACCAAGTGCGCTTGCGGATCTCGTTTTCCAGATTTGTCGTCTCACCCGGCGCCTTGGCAGCGCGGTGCAGGTTGAGGTCAATGGCACAGTGGAAGGCAAAGTTGGTGACCATAGAGCCGCATCCAGGCTTTGGGAAGGCGCGGCTGTGAGCAGAAATCATGGCCATGGCTTGCACGGCAGCGACAGACTGCGCCGAGGCCAAGTCGTACATTTTGCTCAGAGCGAAGTGGTAGTGTTTGTTAGACAGCTCATTCAGCTGGGAACGGCTCTCCTGCTGCTCCCAGTTCCTCACGCCGTACTGGAAGTAGATTGTGGCAAAGACCATGTGCACCATGACTAGATCGGGAACCTCTGGCTCGAAGTCGGGTTCGTCGTACATGCGAGTCAGCTTGAAGGGATGGTCAGCAGCAAGCACAGGTAGGCAGAGGAAGGGTTCGACCCACTATATTCATGAAAGTCGGCTTGTGAAGGACGGGCAGGAATGGCCAGATCATGAGGAAATACCACTCCGAGTACGTAAATGCGTCGCTTCGCGAGGGTAGTTCGATATTGACGGGCGGGTTGATGTTCATACATGACTGCAGGAAGGACTGGAGGGACTTGTTGTAGAGCGGCTGGGAGATCTTGGCATCGGGGACGGGCTTGTCCATATCAGGGGCGTCGAAGGAGGTGACGTCTATCGTAGTGCCGAGGATGGACAGACGTGTGCCCTTGATGGAGCTGAGAAGGGCGCTGTCGCCACCTACGCCAATGTGGTTGTGAACAGGACGCGACTCGAGTGATGACCGGGGAAAGGAGCGACTCGCGGGCGGCTTGAAGTTGTAATTCTTGACCCAGACGGAGCCGACCTTTGTCCAGGCATCCTTCTCGGCCGGGTCCTCGACGGCATTGCCCATATGATCGTAGGTGACGCCTGGTGGAGGGTAGGCCATACCGTAGGGGGCCCAGGTCCAGGGCTTGACTTCGATGCCGTTGTTCTCGAGGAGCTTCTCGAGGTCGCGTATGTGGTTCATCATGTCGGTCTTTTCCCGCTCGAGTTCCTGCAGGTACCCTCGACGTTCGGTTCGGCCGGTGACGCGATCGGTGACGAAGCAGTCGAGATTCTGGTTGACGCAGTGGGAGCATCCTTCGGGGAGGGCATCGCAGCGGATCTTTCTGACCTGTGGTGTAGGTCGTCAGCACGGGACGGTTTGACGGCTCGACGCTTGTCTGGCAAAGGACAGGACAGAACATGTGGACTCACCTTGCATCTATCGCAGGCCTGGCCGGTCCTCGTGTAAGACGACAGACGGTTCTTGACGACGGAGGAGAAGTCCTCCTGGCCGCCCTTGTCGAGACGCGGCAGCTTCACCTTGCCATGACCAGCAGCAACAGCGGCGGCGGCAGCAGCAGTGTCGGCGTCGGTGGTGGCAGGATCGCCAGCTTCCGCCGGTCGCTTGGGCGGGCGACCGGGCATGGTCTCGTTTCGAGAGGAGAGTCGCGAGGTCTGGCGAAAGGAGGCCGCATACAAACAAAAAGAACAATCGCAGGCGCAGGGACAAGACGACGGCAATGCAGACTCTCGGTGGTCGCTCGGTGGTATCGCGACGGGGTTTTCCGCAGAGAGATGGAGGTTGCCGCGTTTTTAGGGGAGCTGCTGCTGTTGGTGCTGCTGTCGCTGCATGTGTGACGGGAGGTCCAGTGCCTGTCAAGGGGGGTGGGGGGACGCTACCTTAGGTATGGGGCCCAGGCACGCCAGCACGCCAAGTAAGGCGCTCCGATGGCAGGGGGTCCGAGCTGCAAATCGTCCGGGGGAGACGGGAGAGAGGGCTGACGGGCTGCCCTGCGCTGGTTTAGCGGGCACGCGCCAGGGGTGGTGGGTGCATCCACTGGGCTGTCTCTCTGTTGAGTCTTTTCAGTGAGGTGTCTCTGGCTGCGGGCAGCCCGGCAATCGGGCACTCCAATCCACTCCACCTACAACTCACACACTCAACCAACACCTGGTCAGTCAAGGTAGACAACACCGCAGCACGCAACACACACTAGACGGACGCAACACGCGGCGGCTGCGGGAACACGCCAACCGAGTCCCAGCCTGTCGGGATGCGGGCGTGCGGGTGCTAACCTACCTCCTTCGATGCGCACTGGGGGCTGCTTGGTGGAATGCAGCTGAGTCGAAGCCCGGGTCTAGAAGGCCTAGGTCAGCTGGGGGTCCTGGACTTTGTCTCTGATTGACTAGAAGAATGTCCTCCACGCCCAGACGGATCTCGATGAAGGACGAAGTTGTCAGGTTAAAGAATGGCAGACATCTTTGCTGCTGCTGCTGGGGTTAATACAGGCCCAGCCACTTCAGCTCCTCACACACGGCGGAAACCTGTCATTTGCCTCGACGAACCCCTTACGGACACCTTTACAAACAACCTGCAAGAAACGAGAAACACGAGAGACTCGATCCTTCCTGTTCCCGGGCTCGAGCAGGGCTGGGCCGTAGAAGCTGACGCTTCTGGGTCGAGTCTGCTGGTCCATCAACCACCGTGAGGGTGTGAAGGAAGCGAGTAATTCTTGGTCACGGATGGCCAGCACTAAACCTTGACCAACTGCAACTAACTGACTACCTTCCTTACCTTCCACTAAGAGATAGGCTGAGATCGATATCATCCTTCACATCTGGCACCGGCCATCCATCCATCTTGCAGCCGACGGGAGCCAGATTGGCCACAGTTGGTGTTGCGCTTGTTGTTGCCCGAAACTCAAGAAATCGACGCCATGTCATTTCCAAAACCAACGCCGCCAGCCATCGGAGGCGTTGGGGGGCGTCATCCTCTCTCAAAGAACCCCGTGGCAGCAAAGAAAGAACACCCTCACACGCCTCCTCCTCCCCAAGGGTTCCAATGTTCTAGCTCAAGGTTAGAGTGTCTCTGGTTGCAAGCGAAATGTCTCTCCAGCGGGAGGGGCACTGCGTCTAAGCCGGATCGACTGCGTGGTCGAGCCCTTCGAAGCTCCTTTGTTAGTGCCTCATCCCCCACGCCGCGAACGTTCCGGCAATGCCCTGTACCGGCCATCTAAGCCCACGGCAATTCCATCGGGTTA